TTTTTTTTTTTTTCCTTTTTTTTTTTTTTTTTTTTTTTTTTTTTTTTTATGTGTCTCCTTTGCTGCTCTTTTGTCTCTTTTTTTGTCTCCTTTTTGTCTTTTTTTTATTTCCTTTTATTTATATTTTATTTATTTATTTATTTATTTATTTATTTATTTATTTACTTACTTATTTACTTATTTATTTTTATTTATTTATTTCTTTTTATTCCCCATTGTCTCCTTTTGTTTATTTTTATTTATATTCATTTATATATTTTATTTATTTATTTATTTATTTATATATTTTATATATTTATTTATTTATCTATTTATTTATTTATTTATTTATTTCTCTTTTCTCTTCTTCTTTCTGTATCCTTTCTTGTGTCCCTTTGTCTCCTTTTTATTGTCTCCTTTTTTCTTCTTTCTCCTCTATACTAACTCTCTCCTTTTTTGCTGCTTATTTGTCTCCTTTTTGCTGCTTATTTGTCTCCTTTTTTGCTGCTTATTTGTCTCCTGTGTCCTTTTTATTTATTTATTTATTTATTTATATTTTTTCTTTTTTCTTTTTTTTTCTTTTTGTATTTATATTTGTTATTATATACTTACTGTCTTCTTTTTTTAAAAACTCTCCTTTTTTTTGTCTCCTTTTTTTTTCTCCTTTTTTTTTCTTCTTTTTTTTTTCTCCTTTTTTTTTCTCCTTTTTTTTGTCTCCTTTTTTTTTGTTCTCCTTTTTGTCTCATAAAGCAACTCTTATACTCACACCCTTCCTACTTTACAGCAGCAGCTGCAGCAGCAGCAGCAGCAGCAGCAGCAGCAGCTGCTGCTGCTGCTGCTGCTGTTGCATCTGTTGCTGTTAGTGTTGTTGCTGCTGCTGTTGCTGTTGCTTCGGTTGCTGCTGCTGTTGTTGCTGCTGCTGCTGCTGCTGCTGCAGCAGCACGGGAACCGTCTCCCTTATTATTCTACGGCAGCAAAACCATAGGAATTTGCTAAGGCTGCTTACATCTGCATGGTGTGCTGCTGCTGCTGCTGCTGCTGCTGCTGCTGCTGCTGCTACTGCTGCTGCTGCTGCTGCTACTGCTGCTGCTACTAAATGATGCTGCAAGTACAGAGACAGCAGCTTGTCTCCTATGTGTCTCCTCAATAAATAAGTGTCTCCTTTGTGTCTCCTTTTTGTCTCCTTTTTTTTTCTTTATATTTATTATTTATATTATTTATAATAAGACAATTCCTTACCTCCCTCCCCACAGTCTACTAAACCCTAAACCCTAAACCCTAAACCCTAAACCCTAGCTGTATATACTGTCTGAGGGTTTATAATAACAAAAGATAAACATTAAGAGGAGAGACGAGGGTTTAGAGATACTTAATAAGAAGAAAATACAGTTTATTTATCGCAGGGTTTAGGGTTTAGGGTTTAGGGTTTAGGGTTTAGGGTTTGGAGGGGAGGAGATGGGGGGATCGGCTAGGGTTTAGGGTTTTATTTTTTTTTTTATTTTTTTATATAAATAAAAATAATAAATAAATTATAATTAAATAGATAAAATAAGAAAAGATAATGCATGCAGCAGCAGCAGCAGCAACATGGATGCTAGACCAATGGTACTGCAGCAGCAGCAGTAGCAGCACCTGTGCAGCAGCAGCAACAGCAGCAACAGCAGCAGGAGCGGAAGACCACAGGTGTATACCTAGGGGCTTATGCATGCACCTCTTCTTTGTGTCTCTTGCTGCAGCAAAGAAAATACATATTCTTATACAATTAATTCATTATTAATAAGAAAGGCAGCAGCAGAAACAGCAGCAGCAGCAGTCACAGCAGCAGCTGCAGCAGCAGCAGCTGCAGCAGCAGCAGGGGGCAGCAGACCACAGGAGTCTCGATTCCCCATAGAAAGCATTGAGGCCTTAAACTCATCTTTGGGGCTTTTTTTGCATGCATTGCTGCTTCTTATTGCTGCAGCAGCAGCAATTAGGAGCTAGTACAGCAGCAAACATCCAGACAGCGCAGCAGCAGCAGCAGCAAGAGCAGAAGCACCAGCTCCAGCAGCAGCAGCAGCAACAGCAGCAGCAACTTCCTTAACGAGGCTTCCGGGATCGCCCGATCCCACCCTAGCAGCACGTGTCTCTGTTTCTGCTGCAGCAGAGGCATTCAACAGTGCAGCAGCAGCAGCAGCAGAAACTGCTGCGCTCACCCTTGCTGCTCCTGCTGCTGCTGCTGCTGGGGGGCAAGTGGAGCTGCTGCTGCAGCTGTTCAGCAGCAGGAGCAGCAGCAACAAACAGCCACACAGCTGCTTGTTGCCTCAGGCATATTAGTGCCTGTATAAGTTACGTGCTGCTGCTGCTGCTGCTGCTATTGCTGCTGCTGCAGTTGCTGCTGCTTCCGGAGACGATCCACTAGCGTGTTAACACAACGCAGCAGAAGCAGCAGCAACAGCAACAGCAACAGCAGCAGCAGCAGCAGCAGCAAACCAGAGAAATTGAATTCACATCCATGGCCAGTATTCTAAAAGTAGGTCATATATATACTGCTGCTGCTGCTGCTGCTGCTGCAGTTGCTGCTGCTGCTGCTGCTGCAGGTTAAACAATGCTTGTTGGAAACATTGTGTGTATTGACATATATTTTCTGTTGGTGCTGCTATTGCTGCTGCTGCTGCTGCTGCAGTTGCTGCTGTGCCTGCTGTATCTATACCAATACTATTGGCGTCGCTGCCTTTCTTTGTGTGTTGTGTGTTATGCTCTATAGGATTTAAGATTTAGGGTTTAGGTTTTAGGGTTTAGGGTTTAGGGTTTAGGGTTTAGGGTTTAGGGTTTAGGGTTTAGGGTTTAGGGTTTGTGAAAATGTTTCGACGTCGTTCTTCCTCCGATCTAAAATTAGTACCTTTAGGAGACAGAGGAGACACACGGGGATCGTTCGATCCCGTGTTGGTTAACTTATTAGCTGCGGGGCTGCATGCAGGTGCAGCAGGAGCAGCAGAAGCAGCAAATGTCTCCTGTACTACATTATGTCATATACATGCACCAACTGCAGCAGCTGCAGCAGCTGCTGCAGCAGCAGCAACAGCAGCAACAGCAGAAGATGAGGAAATACACCATTATACACACTTCCCTGATACACATCACCAGCAGCAGCAGCAGCAGCAAGAGCAGCAAGTGCAACATGATAATGCATGCAATACGCTGCTGCTGCAGCAGCAACGTATTGCATGCATTATGCCGCTGCTGCAGCAGCAGTACGAGCAGCAACATCTAAGAAGACGCGGGACGATTGCACAGACGCCACTCCACGGTCAGCAGCAGCAGCAGCAACGGCAGCAGCAGCAGCAGCAGCAGGAGTGCCCCTCCTTGCATGCAGACGAAGAGATAGGGTCGCGTTTATTCTTCTCTTCTTACAGATCATCAAGCAGCAGTCTTGCTGCAGCAGCAGCAGCAGCAGATTCGGAGACGCTCAGCAGCAGCAGCAACAGCAGCAGCAACAGCAGCTGCAGCACAGAGGATCTATTAGGTGTCCATCTATGTGCAGGGGAGCCTTGTGCAGCAACTGCAGCAACAGAACCAGAAGAAGCAGCAGCAGCAGGAGATGCAGCAGCAGCAGATGCAGCAGCAGCAGCAGCAGACGCAGAAGCAGCATCCGTAGTGGAGAATGCGCCGTTTAGTTTAGGGGTGCGCCCTGCGCCTCTTTCTTGCAGGCAGCAGCAGCAGCAGCAGCAGTAGCAGTAGCCGCAGCAGCAGCAGCAGCAGCAGCAGAGTTATTTTCTTGAGTTCTTCTGTGCAACTAGCAGATCACTGCAGTCAAACAAATAGGCAGAAGTGCTGCTGCTGTTGCTGCTGTTGCTGCTGTTGCTGCTGTTGCTGCTGCTCTTGCTGTTACAGTTGCTTCTGGCGCTAGTACTGCTGCTACTGTTGCTGTTGCTGTTGCTTTTGCTGTTGCTGCTGCTTTTGCTGTTGTTTTTGCTGCTGTTGCTGCTGCTGTCTATCGGAGTTACTGCAGCAGCAACAGCTGCTGCTGCTGCTGCTCTGTCTGTATTTGCTGCAGAGTGGCGAAAGTATTATAACACAAGGGGACGGGAGGTCAGAGGAGACAAGAGAGGAGACAGAAGAGGAGACAGAGGAGGAGACAGGAGGCACAAGACAGCAGCAGCAGCAGCAGCAACAGCAGCAGCAGCCGCTTACTGCCCTCAGTTTGTTAAGTGCTGCTGGTCTATCTGCTGCAGCAGAAGGGACACATCCCCCTAGGTCCCACACCCTCTCTCTCCAACAGCAGCAGCTGCTGCTGCAGAAGCAGCAGCAGAAGCAGCAGCAACAGCAGCAGCTGCCAACGCTCCCATACAGCCTACAGCCGCTGCTGCTTCTGCAGCGTCAAGACACCGCAGCGTCACTGCAGCAGCAGACTGAGCTGCAGCAGCAGCGGATTATTAGCCTGCTAGCAGATGCAGTAACAGACCAGGAGCTGCAGCAGCAGCAGCAGCAACTGCTGCAGCAGCAGCAACTGCTGCTCTCCTCTGCTATCGTTAGGATGGAGCAGAGCCAGTGGAACCTGCAAAGCTTTGTCAAGCAGCAGCAGCAGCAGCAGAAGCAGCAGCAGCAGCAGCAGCAGAACTGGGTGACCCGCAGTGGGGTGCCTGCCCATGTAGCTCTGCAGCAGCAGCAACATGAACTGCAGCAACTGCAGCAGCGGCTGCAGCAGCAGATCCAGCAGCAGGAGCAGCACCTGCAGCAGAACCTGCTGCAGCGCCAGAATGTGTCTGGCATGCAATCTGCTTTCCATCATCATCAGCAGCAGCTGCAGGTGCAGCTGCAGCAGCAACAGGTGATGCTGCAGCAGCAGTTGCAGCAGCAGCAGCAGTTGCTGCAGCAGGTCCTCCATACCCAGTACTCCCCTAAGCAGCAGCAAATAGGAGACACTCCCTTAACTGTCTTAGAGCAAGCAGAGCAGCAGCAGGAAGCAGATTATAGCGTACTGCAGCGGCGGCAGCAACAACAACGACAGCAGCAGCAGCAGCAACAGCAGCAGCAGCAGCAGCAGCAACAGCAACAGCAACCTTCACTATGGCGTTCCTTCCTGCAGTCGCAAGGCGTTGCATCTTCCTTCGGGCTGCTGCAGCAACAACAACAGCAACAGCA